GAAAAAAGAGCAGATATGTGGTTTTCTCTCTCTCTCTCTCTCTCTCTCTCTCTCTCTCTCTCTCTCTCTCTCTCTCTCTCTCCTCTCTCGCTTGGGAGTTCAGAGATCTTGGAGGGGGGCATCTTCCTATATTTGTGTTGATATCCTTCCAGGGTCCAAGTTTCCTCTCGCATTGTTTCACAGGGAATTCTGAGTCCAGTGGTCACTCACTCTGAGGTCTTTCAGAGTTAATGAGTTTCAGGTCTCTGTGTCTACACGCCTCCACCCTCCATCTCTGAGCCACCTGAGTGTGTTTCTCCTCACCCCCAAGTTTGCAGTTGCTTTTCTCTGAGATCTGAGTCAGGGGTTTCTCAGATCCCTACCTGGGTCTGAGTTCTAAGATCTAATCTGGGTTCAGGGGTGGTGTGGGTGGGGGTGTCTTTGTGAATCTGGGTTTTATCTTTTTGAGTCCAGGTCTGTCTTGGGTCCCTAAAATGGCCACCCCAGGGTCTGCAGTCTGAGAGTGGGCCCCTAAAACTGCCATCCCAGGTCTGCTGTCAAAAAGTGGGTCCCTAAAACGGCCACCCCAGGATCTGCCATCTAAGGGTGGGTTCCTATAACGGCCACACAGCATCTGCAGTCTGAGTGGGTCCCTACAACAGCCACCCCAGGGTCTGTGGTCTAAGGGTGAGTCCCTACAATGGCCACCCAGGGTCTGCCATCTGAGAGTAGGTCCCTAAAACTACTACCCCAGAGTCTGCAGTCTAAGGGTGGGTCTGTAAAACTACCACCCCATGGTCTGCCATCTAAGAGTGGGTCCCTACAATGGCCACCCCAGAATCTGCTAAGAGTAGGTCCCTACAACGGCCACCCAGGGTCTGCCATTTAAGAGTGGGTCCCTAAAACTACCACCCCAGGGTCTGCAGTCTAAGGATGGGTCCCTACAACTGCCACCCCAGAATCTGCCGTCTAAGAACAGGTCCCTACAACCGCCACCCAGGGTCTGCAGTCTGATTTGCGAGGGTCTGGAGGACCTTTTTCAGACAGGATTCTCAGATTGTGGTATTTGACTCCTCTTTTGGAGGGGTCTGGGGTGTCGTCGCCCCGACCCAGACCCCCACCCCCACCCCCGAGCTCAGAGGACCTCTCCTCCTAAGGTTTTGAGTCCGCGAGGTTAATTTGCTGTATGGAGGGGGCGAGGTATCTTTCTTTGGGTCTGGGGTCTGTCTCAGGGTCTGGGGTCGTCGTCCTCACGACTGCTGACTCAGGGGCATGAGTCAGGGGGTCTCTCACTACCCCCACCCCGGTCTCCCAGAGCAGGGGTGGGGGCCGCACAGTCTCTCCCTCCTCCTCCTCCTCCTGCTCTTCTCTCGCGCTGGCTTCCCCCGCCCCCCTCTCTCTCTCTGTCGGCTGCCGCTGCTGCCGTTGGCTCTTATTCTCCTCCTCCTCCTCCTCTCTCCTCCTCTCCGCTCCTCTCGGCTCTTCTCTCCTCCTCTCTCCTCCTCCTCCTCCTCCACCTCCTCCTCCTTCTCCCCCTCTCTCTCCCCCTCTTT